CTTCACTCTTACCGGCACATTTGAGGTCAATCTTAGTGTTTAATTAATTATTCAAACATTGCTGTAATAGAACAATTATAGATGAATTCGATACCCACCAGCTTGTAAATATTAATGGTAAGAACAAATAACAGGGGTCAAGTTGATGTGAAAGAATTTGGAATTCAAGCTTTAGTGTCAGAATACCAGCCTTTTTATGTAAGACCTTTGTTCACCTAATTAACCCACTTAAATCCAATAAAGCGAACATTGACCTCAATATTACTTAGTTCAATGACCTCAATTAAAGCTTTCTATTATATCTTTACGTTCATTAAATATTTACTATGGTAACGAATCTTCAGAATTCCATATAAGTAAGTAAAAATCAAATCTGGACTATGGAGGAGGGTAATAAAATTGAATCTAGTTGGTGAGGAATATCAGTCCGGCCCACTAAATGACCTAAAAGGCATCAACAATAGGGAAAATTCCAATAACCGAGAAATGTATTTAAAAAGTTGAATACGAATGTGGAAGATATATCACTAAGTTTATCATGTAACAAATTTCAGATATGAATCATTGAGTTGGGGAATAAGAAGGGGAAGGGGAGACGTTTGACGAATATTGAGCAGATTGTGGATGTTTGTGCGTTGAGATTGCAACTTTGTTGCGAGCCTCTTCTCTGTCGAGTAGCCTGGCCCTTCGCAAAAGCACGGATACCCAATCCGGGCCACTAGTATCCCACACTGGTTCCATCAATTCGTCTTCTTCACACATCGAGAAGTGAGAATATGATGATTGACCTTTACACTCTAATTTATATACCAATTCGGTCAAAGGGTTTCACCTCAAATAACCAATACAAGTGCTCTCTCTCCTCCTTACTACAATTAGAATTGCTTATCCAATTGGATCTTCTCAACAATTGCCAATCAGATTGCCACATTATTGGTCCGAACGCGTACCAATTAAATTAGTCGATCACCATCTCGCTGATTCGACCGAATAATTTGTTTGATTGATTGATTCATTGATTGGTTGACTGTTTGACCTATTGATTGTTCACTAAATGTTTGACAGAGTGTTGTATGCTAGAGCCTCATGCATTGCCATCAAAAACCATGATCAAGGGACACTATAAATCCTGCCTCATCTGATATCATCACCGACATGAGCTTAAAGTAGTCGGTCAGACTGATGGACTCCCAACACGCTGACATATAATTGGTGATTGATCCCAATTCTGCCACAATTTATGTCAGAAATAGATGAGCTGAAATCATCCAAAATAGATAAAATTGAAATAACACAGTAATTTATTTATAAAAAATGTAATTACAAAACTGGGAATTACTTCATGAAGTTGATCGAGTAACGAAGTTGAGATAAAAGTGGATGAGACCCGTGTGTCGAGAATGTGCACGTTATCTTGGAGGACACGGTGGACTCGTTGTGGCGAACTTTGGAATTGGTGACGGTGGATACCGGTGTCATGTGAATCTTCAAAAATTCCTCTCAGAGAGGCTACTGTGTGTGGACAATTTTAGGAGGACCACTTGTGGTTTTCCTGCCTGCCCACAACTCATGAGCCACTTCTTCTTCCTCTGCATTGCAGTATTCATTCCACAATGCGACAAAAAACGAGGAGTCACTGCCCCATTCGCTATTGATGCCAATTTGCTGCTAATCAACCACCTTGAGGCTGTCAACTTGCTACAGCTCACACCATTTCATAATCATTGGCTTTCCCACTTTTATTGGAGTAAGTGCAGAATGTGTGAAGCAGGCGTTTTGATGGGTCCAGTCGAGAATACTTGAGACTCGAATTGGGTTGCCGAGCTATTGCAAGAAGCCTTGGAAGTTGCTCAAGAAGACATTAGCGCCCCAGTTCCAAATCGGTTAATTGTTGGAGTTCAGTCATCGACAGGTGCAGTGCAATAAATCGTCCCCACTTCTTCTTCCTCTCAATTGTAGTAGTCATTCCACACTGCGACAAAAAAAACGAGGAATCGCTGCCTACGACGGTTGCAAACGACTGACTGAGTTGTGCCTTAGACCTCTGCACTTTCACGTTGATCTTCGGTATTGGATTGTAGCCGGCAGTAGGGCGGATGGAAAACTCTTTGTGCAGACATTGGATTGCAGAAAGAGAGAGAGAGAGAGGTAAGTGAGAATCCAATTAGTTCAAGAATGACGGATATTCGGCAAATGCTTGATTATTGTGAATAGAAATTGAAACTTGAGTGCAACGCCTTATTCGGTCTTCTGTCACATCTTAGCTACTTAATTTCATCTTTTAAATATCATGCCTTTGAAAAAACGCAACTCACCAGAATGGTAGTATTAAAATTAAAAAATTTTGTTCACTCAATTTACTGAATTGTATCATTTAAAATTTTAATTGATCTCAATAGTAATAACTTCAATACTCTTAATTGAGGACACGTATGAAGTACATTCTACATTCGTTGTGAAAAATTCTCAATCCCATACAGGTAGGTGTTTAACGAATTTCGATAAAACTCATCATCAAATGAGGAAATTGAAGTAATAAAAGAGTTACTTATTTACAAAGGTTATTGGATGAAGCAGATGAGTGTACTAGTGTAGAAATTTTCAGGAGCAACAAATTTCCGATATGATTCAGTGAGTCTCGTGTGTCGAGATTGTGTTCGCTGTCGTTGTGTTCGCTGACTCATTATTCGAGATGGCGGGAACTGTGGCTGTGGTGATGGAGGTTTCACATTAATGTCATATTTCGCAAATTTCGCTCTGGGAAATGCTGTTGGCGCAGAGAGTGAACTAGTGAAGACATTGACAGCAGTCCCAGTCGGGTGTTTCCTTCTTGGTGCGACAAAAAACCTAGGTCCTGCTTCTTCATGATTCTCTTCGAAGGCTGCCCTCGACTGCTGAGCCAAGGCTTCCTTCCATTCAAGCTTAAGTGTCAGAATACCAGCCTTTTTGTGTAAGACATTTGTCCACCTAATTAACCCACTTATATGCAATAAAGCGAAAATTGACCTCAATATTACTTTGTTTAATGACCTCAATTTCAGCTATCTTTTATAACTTACTTTAAAAGGTATAGTTCAATCGAATAGTGTTAAATTTGAAGGTAGAGGAAGATGAAGTTGAATTTTGAATTGTGCAGAAATATTGGTTTAGTGGTTGGAATTCTTCTCTTACTCCTTCACTCAACCCTCGTAAAATTTAAAAATGAAATCCCAAATTAAGTAACCAGTTTAAGTGGATTTTCAAGTGATAATGCATGCTAGGCCTCACGACCTTAAAGTAATGACAATTTTACAATAACTCTCTAACTACATATATAAAATTTTATTTATTTCAAATGGCAGGCGTTTTGATAGCTATCATTAGCCCTTTAATTGACTTCGGGCTTCACAGAGGGAAGGTTCATCAAAGTAGCAGAAAGTCGAGGGGTGGGGGACAGAAGAGCGATTCACAGATGTAATAGAGGCAGACAGACACAAAGGCAGAGAAAAGGGTAAGATGAGTACTGCGAAAGCGGTCGAATATGACAAGCAGTCGTGCCATGGTATTTTGAAGTCAGAAGTCAACTGCCGGTTAATAGACTTTTTTGCCGTATGAGTATACGTTGCCCAGGGTGCACCACGTGGAGGTAAGTCTATCGCACACCCCACATGTATTAGATTAGTTCACTGAGTACTGAAACGCCCGACATCAAGACTAGGAATTTCTAACACTCCGAGAAGATTAGCACCAAAAAAAGCCCCTCTAAGTCCAATTCAATTCCAATTGGTCACTGTGTAGTTAGGTTTTCATTTGGACTTATTCGAAGACATAGTATTGTAGCTTGTACAATATTATGACGATTATAAATTGGATTAAGATGGAAAAGAAATTTAGTGCACGAATTGTAAATTTTCTTGCTCGGATTTATTAACAGTGTAGAAATCCAAGAATGTTCCAACATGACCAACAGAGATAGAGTTTTCTTGCAGTATCCTGACACTCAGTCTTGAACATTGTAACTATAGTAATTAGTATTAATTACGTAAATTTTACTTAAACCGTCGCTATTCTCAAATTTGTATTACTGCCCAAGAATAATAAGAACAAAGAGGAGACGAAGAAAAAGAACAATAAGAAGAAGAAGAAGAGGAGGAGGAGGAGTAAGAAGTGTTGCTTCGGCATAAATTTTCATTTGATTGCATTGAGACCTATAACACACTTCGTGCCACTTGGCATTTCCAAGAAAGTATTCAGCAGTACATCCCGAATAAGCCCTGAATTTCGATATCCCGGACATCGGAACGAAATCCATTGACAATGAAATAATGGAGAATAATACAGAACAAATCTACTTTCATAGTTCGCTAGTAAATGGCTAACTTTCTTCAGATTACATGAATTCTATAAAAATAAGAAGAGCTAACAAAAATGTATTTATAGGTAAATTTGTGAGCGGAATTGGCCAGTTATGTTGATATTACTTTTGCGTGATATTTGAGGAGGATTTCATAGGAGCACTTTCAAGATAGGAGAGGAATATTAGGGAGGTGTAAGCACCCAACGATTAATTACAATTTTAATATATTTCCATGTAGGATATGTTTCGATTATTCATCGAAATTTCGAATATATTTAGATGATAGTATTTGTTTGGTTGGCTAAATCTATTTTCCGTTTTTTTTAATTTATTCCGTTCTTTAAGCTCTTCTATTTTCCAGTGTCAAATTAATTTAACATATATTAATTTTAATAAATATTTATTTGATCATTTAATTTTTTCCTTAACATAGAGGTTAGCGGTACACCAATTTCATCTATCTTTCCATTATTCATGAATATGAAATACATGAGACTTGCTTGCATGCAATTGCATTTCTGAAGACAAGATTTCGTGTAATTTAATTTCATTTTATATCGCGACAATTTTGAGGACCATTTAGTTATTAAATTATTGAATTTTGGACTATTGTTTGTGATGTGGCCATGTTAATGAGGAATTCAGTTGGGAGTTGCCTTTTTCGTGACGTTTATGAGAATTTGAACATGCCTTATTTAAGCATTCTCCTCATTTGGGACTTGTAGTTTTTATTTATGTAAGATGTTTTGTCTGTTACAATGATTAGGCCTTCAACTACAAAGAAGAGTTTAGTAATCTATGCAGTGCCTATAGAATTATATTATGCTAAGGGTTCTCCGCACAACAGTCGCGATTTCTCCCTACTCATCAGGCGGTGCGTCCCCATCTTCGAGACTATCTTGATACTCAGCTCTGAGAGCATTATTTTACCCACAATACTCCCCACCATGTTGAGCGTTTTCAGGATACTTGATCTTCACCGAGAAGGCCAAATTGGTGTTTACATAAATGGTGCTTTTCTTTAGGTGTCAGCTTACCATTCTCTGCAAGTAGTTTGTTTCTGTCGACTTAGTTCACCAATATTGCTTTTGTCTTCCTGTGAGGTTACTTTTATGTTCAGTGGCTTGCAGTTTAGAAGGGGGTGATGGAATTTTTGGAAACGATCAATATCAAATTGGGGTTAGTGTTCTGTACTTTTTGGCAAAATTGATTGGCTAAGTAGCTCGCAACGGATTGGCATGGATCGGGTAATGTTGTTAGCTTGTCAGTGTCCATAGTAAAAGCTTATGATTAGTGTGACTGATTTGAGCAGGTTTATTGGCTCGAGGCAGCAGGTTTTGCCTATTTGGGGATTATGAACCGACATTGACTGAGTTGTGAGGAAGTACTCTTGACTACTGTAAGTGAATGAGTGAGGCGAACTTTTCATTCGATCCACTAAATGAAAGGGGGAGGAGGTAGATGTGGTTGTGATAGGGATCGC